AACTCGGTCATTCTCAACTACCCTGAGGGGACATTTGGTTATGGTGTTCTATGTATGCCATACCTGCTAGCATCTTGCACCTTGTTGCTATGTGCTGAAATTTTCTCATTAGCATCTCTGTACAGCCTACGGGGTCTTGTTCCTATTCTGTCATATTAGTGCTGTCTCTGTGCTGTCTTTCAGTTCAGCTTTGTCCAGCCACTGACAGGATTTGTGGATGTCAGTCTCTTCTTCTGTCTGACGGTGGCACATACCGTGCAGGTTCCCATCCTTCCGTGATGGTTCCTTTTCCTGCTTCTCTTCTGTCGGGATTCTGCTGCAAGAGGTATTCACTAAGCTATAGTGAATACATCTAAACTAAAACAAACTAACAAAAAACTAAGTCTTTGTTGTCTCATCCTGGATAGTAGTTCTTACACTGACTAGTCCTCATCTTCCTTCCACTTTGCATACAGTCTCAGGGTGCTGGATTTGGGGCTAACCCTCCATGCACGGTAAGGAGATTTCTTGTCTTGATGTTAGTGGCTTCAGTTTCTGATTGATCGCTTAAACAGTGCTCCGTGGGATGTTCAAGGCTTGAGAAATCTTTTTTTAGCCTAAGCCTCCTTTAAATTTCTCAATAACTTTATCCCTGACCTGTCTGCTGTGTTCTTTGGACGTCATGGTGTTGTTGCTCCCAATATTCTCTTAGACAACCTCTGAGGCCGATACAGAGCAGCTGTATTTGTACTGACATTAGATTACTTCTTCTTCTTCTTCAGTCAAGTTTAACGGCAGCTTGCATCCAAAACTGTTGCATTACTGCCACCTCCTGGCTGTTAATCGTCCGTCATTCCTGAATCCTCAGATCCTCTTGATGGACATTAGATTACACACAGGTGCACTCTATTTAGTCATTAGCACTCATCAGGCAATGTCTATGTGCAACTGACAGCACTCAGAACAAAGGGGGCTGAATAATTACGCACACCCCATTTTGCAGTCATCGCACTTGTAGTATGGCTGGACTGTCGTTAAAACACGTGACATCATCGAAACAGTGAGAACAAAGTGGCTGTTTGGAGGGAAAGTGCAGGACTTTTTTCTCATCGTGGCTTTAAATGCATTTATCATGTCAGCAGCAGTCTTACCTTTTCCTTGCAGCTCACAGTTCAGATGGTTTCCCAGTGCCACAGCAAGTGAGACATACACCCTTTGTTTACCTGTGATTAAAATC